AGTTCCAGATCACCCTGAACAGGGTTACCTGAGTGTAGTATATGTGTATTGAAGGATTTGCTTAAAAAATGGGCGTGCCTGTGGCTGTAAGGAAAGATCCCAGGGTTAATTGTGTCTCTCCAGAGCTGCTCTACTGGCACGTGAGAGCTACCTCCTGTGGTTTTCAGTGACTCATGGTTAAATATTCTAAATGGGAGGAAAAAAAACCCTAAAGGATGACTTAACGAGCCTGTGATAGTGGCAATCAGTTTTTCACTCTGTGAAATACAGAGTGATTCACAGTTTAAAAAAAAAATACCACCACAGCACTTGATCAGAATTTGTCAGGAGACACAGGACAGCCAAGGAGTCAAGCACCTGTTTGTAAAATTACTGAATGCTAGGTGAGTCCACAGTGGACTAACTTGACACACTGCCTCTGTCCCGAGTTACAGCATGGTTGTAGCAGTAGCGGCTCTGTTTCTTGAGGGTGGCCTCATGGAATCTGGCACTGATGGTACCAGATGGATGCAGCAAAATAGAATAAAATAATTGGAGTAAGCCTGTATATCTGTAGAGAGCTTGTCACTTGTAGGTGTCTATATCATGCTCACTGCTTGCTGTTAAGTTTCCTTCCTAGAGGGAGCTTGGTCCTGTGTAGGAAGATTTTTTGGTTGGGCAGAGACTGTATCATTGGTCCGTACATCTCTCTGAAACCTGGCATTCCTGATGTGCAACACTGTGTGGCTCTGTGCTTCATTTTCGAACTATGTGAGTTCACACACCTCAAGCGTGATTTTAAATTTGGTTTCAGAGCAGCTGCAAAGGAAACCCATTTGAATCTGCCAAGTTTCATGAAGTATTGTGTCAAGCTTACAGATTTTGTATTGTTTTGATGCATAACCATAAATTAGCCCAGGTGTGTTGAAAATGTCCCTAAGTTTTAGCGTATTTTTTTATGAACTTGGTCTGACATTTGAGTCTGTAAGAAAATACAGCACTAGGGAACTTTGCAGTGTTTAACTGTCAGTGTTACCGTACAACTCTCACGGTAGTGTAGACTAGGGACATATGTGACCTGTCATTAAATGGTAATTAATTTACTGATAGATCAATGTCTGGAGTGTGCTGACTTTTTCCCTAAAGATTTAGTGAAAAAATAACTTGAGAGCATAAAGTTTTCCTAAATTTCAGAAACATTTAACCAGGGAATGCTTATTAATTTAAAAAACTTTTTTTCCCAGCTGCATGAACCAGAGCTAGACATATAATTGATGTATTTTTTTTGAGTGTTAAGAAAATATGTTTCCCATAAAGGGAGTTTTCTGGCAACAGAAATACTTCTGGAGCTGAATTGCAGTTGTTACTTGCTTGCATCTATGTTGTTTAGTGTGTGTTAGTTTTCCAGCATGTCCTTGTAGAGTAATATACCTTAACATATATTTATCTAGAGGAAATAGAGTAAATCAAGTAAGTTAGGAAGGCATACTTCTGCTGATGAGGTTTTTTTTTTCAGATTGAGGAAAGGATTTGAAAGAGTGAAATCCTTTTTTGCAGCACAAAATAATCTAAGCTTTAAAGAGCAGAACCTGCTTGCTCTTTATTCTCGTAGTTCAGCGATTGCCTCACTGACATTATACAGACTGTATCTGTGGTCTTTCATGTATGTAATGAGCAGAAGCGAAGACCACCCTTTTAAAGGAAAAATTATTTGGAGGAATTAACTCTTTTATGATGGGAACTTAAAATATTATTTCCAGAATGTTGCAGAAGTGGTGAAGTATGAGTGTGTGACATTATTCAGTAATTGTTGAAATGTGCTGAGATGAATATGTTAACTGTAGGTTGCAGCGTGCAGTCAGTAGGTGTGTGATTCTGAATGCCTTTATTAGAATTAATCAGTAGTTTACAAAGGGGAGATAAAATTAAAGCTCTGAAAACAAGTATTGTTTACTGATGACTCATTGAAGGAGAGGCAGAATGCTATAGTATCATCAAGCAAATAGTATTGCAGGCAGCTGAGGGTTTGGTTTCAAGTCAGCAGTTGGTATTAGTGAGGTGATACGTGTGATCTGACTGTGTACTATGCAGCCAGGTTTTGGCAGTGCTACACTTTGCTGTGGTGTGCAGTGGGAGCTTCCAAGCTCCTCACGTGACTTCAGCCAGCCGTGAGTCAGGATGTTTTTCTTCTGTGCTACAGTAAAAATGTTCAGTAAAAGAATAGGGTGGATATTCATAAGGGCAGTCAGGCAAGTTACATTTCTCAGCATTGCCCACTGCAAGTCAGAGCTTTTAGAGTATTAATGTTTGATGATAAGTAGCATCAAGGTAAAGTAGTTGTCGAGAAGGTAAAAATAGACTGCAGTTAGGGAGAGGTTTTGTTTCGAAACTCCCTCTAAATTAAGCAGAAGAACAACTTCCCCTTACAGAGTACAGCTACATCATCATACTCACTGCATTGAAAGAGCTGCAAAGGCTTAATTTAAAACAGACTTGTTAAGCAACTAAGGAAACATAAGAGGACGTGACTTGCTTATGGTAAATTACATGTGTCCACTCTTTCTTCATGGATTTCCAACTGTGTGAAAATTGCTTTACTGTCATGTTCTGTACCGAGAAGTTCTTTTACAAATGTATTGCAGAGCAGTTATTGTTTTGAGTTGGTTGCACTTAGCCAGAATTTCTTCTGGGTCCCTACTTGAAGTATGGTTATGGAAAATTAGTGTTTTCTTTTGGTTCTTTCAGTTAGGAACTGGAATAGTAAGTCGTTCACCATAAAGACACTAGTACCAGCTCAGAGTAAAGTATGCTCCCCCTTACTTTTCTTTTAAGGGATGCAGTAAGTGAGGGAAAGAAAAGATCATAAATTCATGTTGCTGCTTCTTCCCAGATACCATCCTGTTGGTTTGTTTCCTAATGGACCAACACTGATCTTTTTATGTAGATCATGTGCACATACTCCGATCTTCATCTGATGTGACTTCAGTAATACATTTCTGTGAGATGCTCTGTTATGTCAAGTTCTGGAGCTTCTTGTAGTGGGAGGTTCTGGTTAAATGTTTTTATGATTAAAGTTGCAATGTCAGATTTGGATGGGTGATAAATAAGTGCATTTAACTGATGGATCTGCATTCTGGCAGTGTTTGTCAGACGTTTTTTGATGGCGTAATCTTCAGCTAATACAACTGGTCACTCAGTTTCTTTTACTCAGTTCTGAGTCTCTTCTCCCTCTGTCTTTCTGTCCATTTTCCTCAATTCCTACTATGTTTTTCCTATCTCTGTCAGGTCTTGACAGGATTCTTGTTGATTGAGCACTGAGGACAGGATGAAGAAGGTATCTTCAATACCTCTTGCATACCTTTATTTTAGCATGATGAGGTCCAAATGACAGAGAGGTGATAATTAAATCATGAGTTCTTCTTTGGAGCAGTTTCAGAGGAAGTATGATTCACTTGCAGGACTCTCAGATGGAAGAATTGATAGCCTTTTATAATTACTTTGTTGCTTTTACCTGACAAAATACATAAATTTACCAACCAACAAAGAAAAAAAATAGATTAATAAACCCCAAGAGAGTAAATCAGATTGCCTTAAAAAATCCAAGGAAGGAAACACAAAGTATGGAGGACTCTATTATCTTGTAATGGGTATCCTAAAAAGTCCTGCAGAGCAGTCGGTGTCATATGATGCTGGAGTAATGTGTTTTGTCTAGTCATGCATTGTCTTTTTACTGTCCTTCTTTTTCCCAAGGTACAGTGAATCCCATTAGGGGAAACTTTTTGCTTTTCTGGGTACTTGGCAAGAACATAGCCCAAGTCAACTTTGCAGATCTGGAGGAGAGCCCAGCCCAGCTTTTGGGATTCTCAAGCTTCTGTTGGGATGTGGGCACACAGTGAATTTCTCTTAACACAGCAGGTGAGGTAGACGGATTGCCTTTGGGAAAGCAATACACCTTATTTCCAATTCACCAGGATTCTCTTTAAATAAAAAATATTCTTAAAATGAAGCCAAGTTTTATTCTAGCAAAGAAAGACTCTTTTTTAGGAAAACATGCAGCTTTGGTTAGTTCTAGATGTTCATGAAAATACAGGTTAATATCTTAAATTTTTCTGGGACCGGGGTTATCTTTGAATGCATTGACTCTTTAGCAAGGCATCTCTTACATCAGGCTTACTTTTCTGCCCGCCATGTCAGTTGAATTTCAGTTTCCACCATTTTCTTCCTAGACTTCATGATTTGCACTGTGAAACTTTTTTTTCTTGCTTCAGTATATATCATACTATGCATTATCTGTAAAACATTTTGATTTCCAGTCTGTGGGATATCACTGGTTATTCATAGATAATACAAAGGACTGTCTTGCATGCCCACATTCTTTTGGGGTTCAGGCAGATATTCATGATATGTAAGTGGAATCAGTGCTTTGGTCTGCTATTACAGTTTCTATTCTCTTAATTTCTGCTTCTGTATGTAACATGAAATACAGCCTCCCTTTCCTCAGTTTTCCTGTTGCCACACCTTGTAAATAGAACTGAAACTACTTTGTGGCAGGGAGAAAATAATAAGTGATTAACAACATGAGAGTCCAATAGTCCCTAGTCCAATCCTTCCCCCACCAGTGTAAGTGGGTGTAACTCTACTGCCACCCTAAAGTTGTCCCTTTTCTTGTTGTGAAATCCATGAAGTAGGGAAGTGTGTCCTGGAAAATTGTGACATTTCAATGAAGCTTTATATACTGTTCCTTGAGGGTGACTTTGTTTCCTGATGAACAAGGCTTCATTTCCCCTGTGTAAAACTCAACTATTTCTCCTCCAGTCCTGTCCCACAGAGTACCATTTAAATGATGGGAAGATTTTAAGGAGCACTTTTTGCTCTGCACATGCTCTAACTATCTTAGTGTTAGTTGCAGTGGGTCAGCAATTACTGCTGACTTTCAGACATCAGTGCTGGATCTCTGAACAGTCAAAGCCATGGAAGGATCAACTTTCATATTTTCTTCTGTCTTGCTTTTTCAACAGTTATATTGCAAACCAGCGAAAATTAGAAAGTATCAATGACAATGAAGTTGGATTTTATGTCGGACTTAAAAATCTGTGAGTATATGGGATGCATATTTTATAAAGCTATTTTTTCTATATTTCTTTTATAAAAGCATATAGAGACCTCACCAGACTGTATGCCTAGCTAAGTGTTATTGAGGACAGTTGCAGATATTGTGGTTCAGCCTTGTTGAATTTCATCTAAGCTCTTATTTTAACCATTATTATCATTATGCTTTCCACTGTATTTTAAGTGAATTGTTCTAACAGTTTTATGTATTTTCACAGAACCGTGGTGGATTCAGGCTTAAGATTTGTGTCTCGTCAGGCATTTGTGAAAAATGTCAACCTACAATACATGTGAGTAGAACAGTGCCTGCCCAGCTCATGTTAATTTATTTAATTGTGAATTTATTTCTATCTTTTACCATTTTCTTCATAAAAAATGTTTTAACAAGATGGACTTATAATGGTCTTCTGTCATTAATTGACCCTGAACATGATATGTATGGTAGGGAACTGGCAGATCCCACATAATGTGGGGTGGTAAAAAGACCGTCCAGTTCATTATCCTGTCTCTATGGGCTCTGTGTCTTCTGTGGTAAGTAGTGTAGCACAAAGAGTGACTGTCTCAGCAGAGTGAGTTGATGCTGAGGGTATGATGTCCATACTATGCATCACACTCAGTGACATAGGTTTGACTTGCTGTAGTCTGATTCAGTGGGCTGAACATGTTTTAGTAGCTGCAGTGCAGTAGATACATGCAGGGAGCACATCTAATGTAATTTGAACAGTGTGCATGCCCAGAGACTGTGGTATGACTATGAACTTAAGTCATGGGGATGACCCAGGAGATTCACTTGGGAAGCTCACTCAAGATCTGAACTAATGCACCCAAGCAGAATATGAGAATGAGGTTACTTTCGCATCCAAATGCAATTTGTGGTTCATCAGCTACAGGAAGCAGAATTCATGCCTGTGCAGCTTTCTGACTGTGTTTTTCTAGATTACTTACACTTTAGATTATCAAAGGCAGAACTGGTCAAATTTCTTTATAAAAGTACAGAGAAAAATGATGAGCTAAAATGAAAGACTTTGTTTCTTTTTAGTATAAGCACAAGTCCCTGAAAGACTGTAGTGCCTTTTGGTGAGACAGTTACAGAATAGCTTGCTTTGCTATTTAGATAGAAGACTATGGATCTAATCCTGCAAAACACTTGAGATTATGTGAGGGGCTCAGTTCCTCACAGGTACCCTCTTTAGCCAAGTATTCAAGTGTTTCAGTCCATCAATCTTCATTAGATATACTTAGAACTTAACCCCTTGCTTTTGTTAAAGTCCTAATGAGATTGGCAATGCGTAAGGTGAAGCCTCAGGCTTGTAAGATACTTCCTTGTAATAGGGAAGAGCTGTTGAACAGAGTGCAGGGCTGATTGCTTTGCTAATGAAATGAAATCTCTTTCTGCACCTGTGTTTTCCAAATAATGGCAATTAATTAATGGAAGGAAGTGGACTTGAATATCTGTATCTGCCAGAACATTAACTGCTCTCTTTATTGCGGAACAGTATTGTGGTTTGAACTCAGCTGGCAGCCAATTGCCATGTGGCCAGTTGTTTACTTCCACACCCCCCCCCCTCCCCCCTCTCCCAGTGAAATAGAGGAGGGCCAAAAGAAGAAATTTGTAGGTTGAATAAAAAAAAATTAGTAATAGTAACAAAACCAACAGTAACAATAGTAGGTCCCAAATGGGTGAAATGCATCAGTGGCTTACCGAGCACGGCGACAGGTACGCAGCCTGCCCCACCCCCCGTGCTGCGATCCAACCGCACCAGAAAATCCCACCACGCTGACCTGGAAACTGAAACGGGTGTGAGAGAGCCTGTGTCCGCCTGTATACTGAGCATAACATCACATGATGTGGAATACTCCAGTGATCGATCCCAACCCAGCCCTCTAGCTGAGCTCCCTCTCAGCCCAGGGAAAGTTAACTCTATCCTGGGTGAAACCAGGACAGTCTCCACCCCTTATTCTGTATCATTCACGTTATCCTCAGGTTCCAAATACATCCTAAGGAATCACCACCCCTATTTTCCAAGTCTCACAGATATCAGTCCCTTAGTCTGTGGGTCATCCTTCCGTAATGTCTGCTGAGTTCATTTAGTCCATAACTTTGGGTTCCATCTGTCATGACAGACTTTAAGGCTGGAGCAGTGAGGTGGAGTTGGCTCAGTCAGTGGAGCAGGAAGCTTTGGATGTGGCAGGGGAGTGTTGTGGGGCACCAATTGCAATTACAGGGTTATTTGACAGTTCAATTCATTGGCTATTCTCACCTAAAATCAAATCTCCTTGAGGCATGCATTGTACTTACCTGTCCTTCTGCATTACCCATCAAGTGCACCCAAGGTCCTTGAGCAAAAGTAATCCCACAGGTGGGTTTACCTTTACCCAATGCAGGAGTAACCCAGACAGTCTTCCCCAGCATGTTTTTAATGTGCACTACAGGGCCTTTATCCCCATCCACGTTATGTAGGAGGTTTGATGGAGCAGGGCCAGCTTGCTTGGCAGATCCTCTGGTATGGACTAACCTGGTGGCTTTTGCTAAATGCACGTCCCAGTGTTTGGAAGTTCCACCACCCATAGCTCTCAGTGTAGTTTTCAGCAATCCATTGTATCGCTCCATTTTCCCAGAGCCTGGTGCATGGTAGAGGATGTGATACATCCACTCAATGCCATGGTCTTTGGCCCAGGCGTCTATGAGGTTGTTTTGGAAATGTGTCCCATTATCTGACTCAGTTCTTTCTGGTGTGCCATGCCCCCATAAGACTTTCTCCTCAAGGCCTACAGTGGTGTTCCGGGCAGTGGCATGGGGCACGGCATGAGTTTCCAGCTAACTGGTGGCTGCTTCCACCATTGTAAGCACAAAGCGTTTGCCATGCTGAGTTTGTGGGAGCATGATATAATCAATCTGCCAGACCTCCCCATATTTATATTTTGACCATCGTCCTCCATACCAAATGGGCTTTAACCGTTTGGCTTGTTTGATCGTAGCACATGTCTCACATTCATGGATTACCTGTGCAATAACATCCATGGTTAAGTCCACCCCTCGGTCACAAGCCCATCTGTATGCTGCATCTCTTCCCTGATGGCCTGAGGAGTCGTGGGCCCAGCAAGACAGAAAATGTTCACCCTTATGTTGCCAGTCCAGATCTATTTGAGACACCTTAATCTTGGCAGCCTGATCCACCTGTTGGTTGTTCTGATGTTCTGCAGTGGCCTGGCCCTTGGGTACATGAGTGTGTACATGGCGTACTTTCACAACCAGATTCTCTACCCGAGCAGCAATATCTTGCCATAACTCAGCATCCCAGACGGGTTTGCCTCTGTGCTGCCAGTTGCTCCGTTTCCACTGCTGTAACCACCCCTGCAGTGCATTTGCCACCATCCATGTCAGTACAGAGGCAGAGCACTGGGCACCTTTCTCGCTCAGCGATATCCAAGGCCATCTGGACGGCTTTCACCTCTGCGAAATGACTTGATTCACCTTCTCCTTCAGCAGCTTCAGTGACCCGTCATGTGGGGCTCCATACAGCTGCTTTCCACCTTCGATGTTTCCCCACAATGCGACAGGACCCGTGGGTAAACAGGGCATACGCTTCTCATTATCCGGTAGCTCAGTATATGGTGGGGCCTCTTCAGCACGTGCTACCTCTTCCTCTGGTGCCATTCCAAAATCTTTGCCTCCTGGCCAATTTCTGATCACTTCCAATATTCCTGGACAGCTGGGGCTCCCTATTTGGGCCCATTGTGTGACTAATGTGACCCATTCACTCCACATGGCATCAGCTGCCTGGTGTGTAGAGGAGACACTCCCTCTGAACACCCAGCCCAGCACTGGCCGTTGGGGTGCCAGGAGGAGCTGTGCTTCAGTCCTGATCACTTCAAAGAGGCTCAGAGCCCTTCATATGACTCCAGTACCTCTTCAGCAGTTGGAGTATAGTGGGCTTCAGATCCTCTGTATCCCTGACACCAAAACCCCAGGGGTCGACCCCGAGTCTCCCCTGGTGCTCTCTGCCAGAGACCCTGGGTAGGGCCATTCTTCACAGCTGCAGTGTAGAGCACATTTTTAACATCTTGTCCTGTCTGAACTGGTCCCAGGGCTACTGCATGAATTATTTAATGTTTTATTTGTTCAGATGCTTGTTGTTGCTCTGGGCCTCATATAAAATTCTTTTTCCAGGTCACTTGATAGAGAGAGGGCTGACAATCTGACTGTAATTTGGAATGTGCAGTCTCAAGAAACCCACACCACCTTGTATTTACTTTCTGTTAGTTGGTAGGGCATTAGCTTATGTTATTTTAGTAATAATATTATTAATAGCCATGTTATTTTATTAATCACATCCATTGGTGTCCATCTTGCCATTTTACTCCTAAAAACTGAATCTCTTGTGCAGGTCCCTTAACCCATGGTTCAAAACCAGCTCTCAGAAGGATTTGGATTATTTTCTCCCCTTTCTCAAAAACTTCTTCTGCTGTACTACCCCATACAATGATGTCATCAATGTACTGTAAATGTTCTGGGGCTTCACCCTGTTCCAGTGCAGCCTGGATCAGTCCATGGCAAATGTTGGGGCTGTGTTTCCACCCCTGGGGCAGTTGATTCCAGGTGTATTGGACACCTCTCCAGGTAAAAGCAAACTGTGGCCTGCACTCTGCTGCCAGAGGGATGGAGAACAACATGTTAGCAATATCAGTTGTGGTGTACCATTTGTCTGCCTTTGACTCTAGTTCATGCTGAAGTTCTAACATGTCTGGCACGGCAGCATTCTGCGGTGGCGTGACTTCATTCAGGCCACGATAGTCCACTGTCAATCTCCACTCTCCATTAGACTTTTGTACTGGCCATATGGGGCTGTTAAAGGGGGAGTGCATCTTGCTGATGACTTCTTGTCTCTCTAGTTGACAAATAATGTGCATATTTTTTAATAGGGATTACAGAGTCTCGATTGGTGCGGTATTGCCATCAGTGCACTTTTGTAGTGGCAGTTGGCACCCATTATTCTTTGACCCTCAGCAATCCCACAACAGAAGGATCCTCTGATAGACCAAGTATCACAGACAGCTGTTTAATTTCTTCTGTCGCCAAGGCAGCTATACCGAAAGCCCACTGATACCCTTTTGGGTCTTTAAAATAATCTTACCTGAGATAATCTACACCAAGAATACATGCAGTGTCTGGGCCAGTCACAATGGGGTGTTTTTCCCACTCTTTTCCCCTTCGGCTCACCTTGGCCTCCCAATACAGTCAACTGTTGAGACCCCCCTGTCACTCCTGAAATACAAACAGTTTCTGCTT